GCCCAAGTGGTGGTGGTGTTCAAAGCGTTCTATCATGGATAGTATTGGACAATAAGTGGCGCTCTTCAACCTAGCAAATTTGCCAACTGGGATACGATTTTGCCAACAAAACGATTGAAGGGGGGGGGGGGGGAGGTTGTCACACTCCACCCTCCCCCCCCCCCCTAGTGATGCCCATGTGCCCAAGGCATATCAACTGCAGTGAAATAAGTATCACTGAGCTGAACCAAACTGTGCAATTTGTAACAAAACCTGTGTGGCAACGTATAACACTACACCCTATCTCCCAGAACAAGCTTTTATTGCACTTTCGTTTGAGCGACAGCTAGGTTTTCATTTTCTACACGGTTTATTATACTTGATCTAATTTGACGTGCAAATGTACGAAATACGACGCCGGCGGTACTAAAGAGTCCTTTTGAAAGTCCTTGTTAATAACACGTATGGTTTACGTGCCTTGCAGCACTCATAACGTTGAGTGCACACATTTTATCCCATTAGCTCGAGCCTTTGAGACGGGATTAATGGAGCAAAAAATACGTTATAAGCAAACACTGGCCCCAGCCTCGCTTCTGGCCAAACTAAGAAGTTCAAGGAGAGTTCTTCGTATCAGGTAAAAATCTAGAGTTTCCAATGAAAGACAAAAATGTTGGAAGTCCTATATAAAGTAGGCAAACAAATTGCCAAAAATAATACATTTTGTGAAAGGCTAGATCATAATGTGTTACCGTTTTCACGAACTAACACTCACGCGCTAGTGTGTGTTAGTTCATGAAAACCGCGTAATCAACAATTTTGGTTTCACGAACTACTAACACCCGAGTTGTGATGATAAAAAGACGACCTTTTATTAACTTTAGGAAATATTCATTTCATCCTTTGTTTCAATGTAGTTTCTTTATATGGTGTAAAAACTGTGTTTCTATACCTCAGTTGATAAGAACTTAATTTACGTGCATTGCCATTTTTTGTGTGATCATCGATTGAGCCAAACCACGGTCACTTAATCATTTTTAAGGTCCCGACCAGAAAGAATGACCTTTTTTTTGCTATTTATAGTTTTTTTAATAATGGAAAGAATCAATGTTGCTATGGTTTTTTACTTAAATTCCAATTTGTCGTCCATTTCGAGGTAATTTGGCTGTAATTGCCATTGCTCTAAATGCCGGGCAGTAATTTTTGTTGGGGGGGGGGGGTTCAGGATTGATTTTTAATTTACTTTCTGCTGATACTGCAATGTCTTCAGCGGCTTGTAGCCACTGTGGGTTTTGTGGCAGTAAAGGTGCTTGCATGTCATGTTCCGAGTGGTCCTCAAATTGTGTCATTTGGACTTTGGCAAAAATGTCTTCCAAGTGGTTTTGTAGGTATGATGGATCATTTGGCAAAATTGTTATTTGTTTAAAGTCCAAAAAAAAATTTTTTTGGTGGGGGGGGGGGGGGGACCTTATGTCCTGGAATGCACCCAGTTGGGCTACAAAACGCATTTTAAACAAAATGATGTTAATTGGAAAGAACATTTAAAAGTAGGATATAATTTGTCCACACAACCATCCTTCAAATACTGGAAGTTTTTGTGTTTTTTTTGCAAGAACCATGCGAGAACGAATTTCAGCGGACAACATTTTGACTCTGCATATGCCACAAAAGGTCCGCCGCATCCGATATAAACAGCCAATTTTTCCGTATTTTCTCCGGAATGGTAAGACATCATGTTAGGTCCTTTTATCAAGACCTTTGAAATAGGATTTATGTAAACAATCCCAAACATAAAATTTTCGGAGATTTTAGGCCGTAATGTCGCTTTCAATTCTCATTGAAACCATGTGAAACATGACGCAGGCTTCTAATTAAGCAGGACGGAAAAACAAAAAAAATTCAGTCCATCCTTTTTAACCCCAACCGGCAACCAAATATCTGCATGTTCTCCTTCCTCCATCTGCTGAACCTCAGGTACTCCCCCCCTTTGTTTGGATATATAGCACCATTTCTATTATTGCTTAATTTTGATGATAATAATTTTACATAAATGCACCAGCACATGCTACCCCTTAACCCATAAAAATATCTTTATCCGATACAGTACGTGAAGCATTTTGTTCTTCAAGACCTAACCCACACTCATCTTTTGTGGTATTGATTCAAGCACTTGTCCGCAACTAACCGTAATCGATATGCGATCTGTGCAAACACTTGGCACTCCACAATTGCAGCCCCACACAAAAAGACACCAAGGAAAATGTGATGCGGAGATAAGCGCAAATGAAATTTGGGCCGCGGCTAATTCAATAATGGGCTGTATACGTGCTCTTGGTATCTGCCCATTTTGGAGACAAGTGGTGGGAGAAACATTACGCAGCGCCTTGACCGCAAGAAAGGGCATATTTGCGCGACCGGTACACATGTTGTTTTTACCGCACCTGATGTAGACTCATCACTTTGAAAGCTTGCGTTCTCGTGAACCCTCCTTGCAAACAAGTCAATTATAAACGTTGCACGTTATTTCTGTGACCTACTTTCTGCTACCTTTGTTTTATAACAAGTAGGCCTGCGTGTTATTTGCCCTTTACCAACGTATACACGCTGTATACTCAGACATTTTTTTTTATGCACACCCCCCTTTTATTTTCAATACTTTCATTCATCTACTATTAAAAGGCATTGTCATAAACCAACCTAGGCAGTTCATAATGAACAAATATTATCCTTTTCAATCAAAATTTGAAAGAATCTCAAACATGTTAACTCAAAAGAGAATTACTTTATTGTATCCAGTCAGGCAGAAAGTATAAAGGTATAGGAACTGGACAGAAGTGAGTTTGGTACATGTATGTCTTAATTAAAATACCTGAAATTTTTTTCGTGTTACTTTCACCATCAAAAAGGCCTTTGCCTTTTGAAATAATTTAATAATAATTACCGCACATGTCAAGATGTAAAATGGAAGACCAAGAAATGAATTGACAAAAGAGACAATTTATGGTTGAAAATAGTTTGGCAGCAAAAAAAATTAAAATCTGAAATAGGCAAGAAAAGCTAGTTTGAATACTGACAAAGTTTACTTCTCTCTCTAAAGTACACTTACCAAGCAAGCATGCTACTGGCAAGTCATTGAACCCGAACAATCGACCCACATTTTTGTCTGTCGGATGACAAGACAGTCGAAATTAAATTTTTGTAGCATGTGATGGGAATCATATTAGATTCCAATCATACTCCTTTTTGCCGAGTGGCCGAGGCTCAGTGACTCCACTCCACCACTCCTTGAGTGTCAGTCCTGGTTTATGGCAATCAAAGCTGAACAAACGCTTTCTTTGATTGAAAAAAAGGGATTTGTGCAGGCCCAGAAATTATGAACTCCATGGAGTACGTGGAGGATTCCTTGTCATATTCTTCAAAATCTACTCTGCTGTTTTCACGCATAGACAGGGTTCTCACCATAGGAGGAGAATGGGGGCAAGTAGGGGGGAGTAGGGGGCTTGATGCTACACTCGGGGCGGGGGGGGGGGGGGGGGGGGGGGGGGGGAATGGGGGGCACCAATTACTGTAAACAGCTGTTAACCATGGTACTTTAACAGCACTAACAAACTTCCGGGGGCGGGTTTTTTTTATGGGGGAATGCACCCCCATCGATCGAGGCCCGTCACTATTAAGGGTAAGAGAAAGCTTGTTTAAAAAGGCCCCCCCCCCCTCGGGCAAAAACAATCAGCATCAAAATTACATGTACCCGGTATTATTAGTATAATTTGCGTTTTTCTTTTGGTGTGCCCCCCCCCCCCAGCTGGTACACTGTGGCCCCCTAATGCCTGGAGCTGGCAACAGGAATGTCCCCATACCCACCCCACTCACCCTACACTCCTCCCATACCCCCACGCCCCCATACTCCCCCACCCCCTCCCCACACCCCCAAACCCCACTCCCCAACCCCCACCCCCCTCTCCACCCACCCCCCCCCACACCTATGCTGCTGGCTATGCTGCTGGCTATATTACTCGCCTATTATCCCAGGGTGACACTTCACTCTATTGGACTGAAGATTAAATCTACTGACTGAAACTGTAGGGACCAGACGATTTGAGTAAAATCTCATCTAGTGACTTTTCACTTCAGTTTCTACTGGATTGATTCTTGTTTTTAGAGTATTTAAATAAAAAATTGAGTTGTCTTCACTCTCCATCACGTGGTCCCTGAGTTTCCCTCTTAGGAAATAAGAACGTATACATAAATAAATCTGTCAACTGAGCCATCAGTTGATCCCCACACCAAGGCTGATTAAGACCATTATTAACCAATTATACAATAATTGCTGGGGGGGGGGGGGGGGGGGGGGTTAGACCGTCCATTGTCTCCCATCCATTGTGTCCTGTTTGTTAGCCGAGCGCAGTTATTGGTTTTGGCGGGTGATGTCAAGGAACCCGTGAAACTTGGGTATAATTGTTATTTCCTTATTAGTGTGGCTCGTCCAGGATTTTCAGTGTGCACAGTGTAACTATAATTGTTGACAGAACTTTGTGAAAATTTGTGACGAAATTGTTTTTGCATCAGGGAAATGTGTAACTTTATTAGCATAGATTTTTGCTTTCTGCGCACACCAACATGACACTTACAATTAACTAGACTGTTAAGGCCAAAAAAAAAAAAGTCTCCGGTTTCTGGTATGGAGCTTGCCCAAAAAGTGGTGCGGCGACGCGGCTTTTTTTTTTTTACCTGATTTTTTTTGCTTCAAATGTCGGCTGATGACTGCAAATGGTGCCCGACTAAACTTAGTGCAAATATATATGGGAGTCCAGAGAGGCCACATAAAGCTTATTCTCGACCATAACCCAATCTAAAAACACGTTAAAATTGAGCAGCAGCAGGATTCCAGTCAAACCAGTGAGTTTGGTGGTTTTGAGACATCATCTTTCATTGAAAAAAAACCTTTTTCATTTTGCCGACGCGCATGGCTACGGCGACGCGCGCGCATACCAGAAACCGGAGACTTTTTTTTTTTGGCCTAACCTAGGCTCTTTAGACATTTTTGCTAGGATGCAACCTTAATCCTGCAAAATCCTCCAACTGCATCCATGTAAAAATTCATTTAGCATACAGCCTCGATAAATCCTGCAAAATCATCTGTTATTTCTTGACTGTGGTCCTTGGAGGGGTGACCACTGCCTCAATCCGGCCAGTTGCCGAAACAGCCAATTACAGGAAAATACATTAAACACCGGTTAGTTTAAAATTACATACATTATTTTTAGAAGAAGGAATTTTTTAAAGTTTAGTATTTAAAATAGGCCTACCGGTACACGAATCCAAAATTACAAAAAAATAAAAATATTCCAATTATAGATAAAAAGGGCAACACCAGAGAAAAACATATGATATAAAATAAACCCCCAGAAACAATAAAAGAGAGACACAGAGTAAAAAACAACAACAACAACAAGAGCTTATTCCATATCCAGTCATTGTAAATCGTAACAGATTTGTAGTTCCGAATTCACACTTTTAACAATAGGTGTGACGTCATAGCAATGGTTTAATAGATTGTAATGGCAACTTTTCAAGTTGTACACTCTGTAGTGTGGAGCCTCTAATTGCATTCATCAAGCTTGATGCGTAGCTCCCATAGTGCTTGATAGTATGGCAGAGCTTCTTCAATCATCTTCTCAATCTCTGGCGTCAGCGGGTACTTTCCGACTTCCCCGTCTGTGTTCTGCTGCTTTGCGGGCTTAATAAAACCAGTGCTTCTCAGACAATTGTTCATCCAGCCGAGTGACTCACAGTCCTCCCACATAGCAGAGGACATTATCCAGTTGCTCGGTTTCCCATCGATAGGATCCCAAGTCAGAAGTCGATCGCTGAAGGGCAGTCCAAGGATTTGGCAGAGAGTCTGGATGGTCTTCTCTGGGTTCTGAATCAGGTCTTGAGCATCCAGAATAGTAACCTGCTGGTCAAGCTTGCTTGTCACATGTCTGTGGAGGTCAAATAGAGGCTTGTATTGATTCAGCCCGATGTAAAACTCTTTTTGCTCCCTTGGAAGAGGTGCAAGAAGCGCTTCTAGTGACGGGATGGATTTAGCAGGATGCCTGACCAAGAAGATGTGCTGATATCCTTCAGGTACCATCTCAAACTTCCCTGACATTGTAAAACCCATGTCCTTGCCAAGAACCAGAGACTTGCCTTCCCGGGGCTGCTCGTAGACGGCCTTTGCTGACTCAAAAGTCCCGGTAGCGTATAAAAGGGCAGATGTAAATTCCTCAAAAAGGACGATGGAATCTGGCACTTGGGAGAGAGAGCGTACAAAAACTGTAGACAGGGAGCGTGCTACACTCCAGATAGCAACTCTCTTCTGGCTACGTTTGCATTCAGACATTCTGTAGTTTTCTTACTGGTTCATGTACGGTAACTCGGGAAGTGATTGTAGTTTATATTGTTTACCTACCGGTACGTACTGATCATGCAGAAACCAGTGCAGTCACAGCTATGAAACCGTGTGCAACAAAAGGTTGATTGTGTACAGTACACATATGTATGTCAAGCTGAGGTCAACTTCCATGGTCACTGATTTGGACATTTTGTTGCATGTACATGTACATGTACATGTAGGTGCATACATGCACTTTGAACTTATCAAATTGAACTGACCCAAATTCAATCAGCTATGGTATTATGAGAAGGGGGGGGGGTGTTTCACTTTGGGAGCTATATTTTTCTGGAGGGGGCTTTTCATTGTTTTTCAAACACTATAAATGCTCTGGTTCAATTGAGGGGCATATATCAGAAGGGTGTCATGTGTGTAAGGGTGTGTGTGAGAAGGGGGGGGGGGATTCTCAACATGAGCCTTAAGTTGAGAGGTGGGTTATAGGGGAGGCATTTCATTATAGAGACACAATATCTCTGATGTCGACGTCCAAGTACAAAATTACAGTTTGAGTTGTACACTATGTCCCTGTCAAGGGAAATGAGTCACACAATGCAAGCCAATAAAGTAACCAAAAATAGAACACCGTTTTTCATTGAAAGTATCTTTAGTATATAAATATAGTATAGGACGACGTACGTACAACACTAGAGAAAAACGCTTAAATATGTAGAATAAACCCCCATAAAATAGTATATGGAAAACCAGTAACACCAATAAGTAAGATAAAAAATAATCATTTCTTTTTCAAATCCCCAGTACAGGTGTTTGAAAATATACAGAATAGATCTCTATTTTCAGTTCATTCCATACTTTTGCTCCAGTGATGTTAAATGCATGCTTGACAGCACCAGTGCATGGCTGAGGTAGTAGGCGTATCCACTATGTATTTCTTTATTTAAACTTGTTTATATACACCTGAACCCATTCAACCAAGCTTGGTTTTGCGAGAGGCTGTGTTGCATAAAAAAACATGTACCGATAGTAAAATTGAACAATACACAAATAAAATCAGTCATTTAAACCATAAAAGTATTGAAGTATATCGAGGTAGACATAGCCGCTATCTATATATTTCTTTATTTGATCTTGTTTATATACACCTGAACCCATTCAACCAGCTTGTTGTTGCAAAAGGCCATGTTGCAAAAAAAAAAATATACCGGTGGTAAAATTGAACAATACACAAATAAAATCAGTAATTTAAATCATAAAAGTACTGAAACATCAAGTCGTTGTGCCAATTAAAGTACAAACAAAATTGAAAGAAAATGAAAAATCAGTATGACCCAACGGAAAACAGTAGTTAGAATAAAAATGCCAGAAAACAGTACAAACCAAATACATTTAGAATTTAGCATTTTTTTTATTCCACCTCATAGGTCCGAAGCCTCATAAGTCCGATGTCGGAAAAACGAGGCGTTTTAATTTGTCGGACGTATACGAGGCGTCGGAGCTATGAGGCGTCGGACCTATGAGGCGTCGGACTTATGGGCCTTTATTTGGTTAGGGGATGCGATTTTGTCAGACTTATGAGGCGTCGGACCTGTGAGGTGTCGAACTTATGAGCGGACCCCAATTGGATGTTAATTAAGCTCTCCACAGGAATAACGTAATTTTTGTTCACTAGCCAGCCGGGCTACTGAAACATACCGTTAACTAGCCCGCGGGCATTTTCATTAGCTGCATGGTTTTTTCTTTTGTAGAATGTCTCATAAACAACAATGTGCATAGATTTAAACGTGTATATTTGGCCTGAAAGTTGACGCCTGGTGGCGCGCTTCAGGGCCCCTCGAAAAGGAAAGTTTTTGAAGTTAGTTTTGGTATATGTTAATTTCTTAAAAAAAAAAAAACACCCTCGGAATTTTATGGAAACTGAAAAACGCATGACGTGAAAGAGACCTCTCACTTACGAAAAGTTCCGTGTGGACTCGTGGAGCTCGATCACTCCTTCAAGCGTGAAAATTTATGAAATAAATTTGTGGCGGACAATTTTTTTAACAAACTTGAAGGGATTTTTTGTCATTTACAAACAAATCTAAAATGACTGTTGATAAGAACTGTATTAAACCCATTTCCAACTGATTTCTCATCTATTCTGAGGCAACTTGTCAGCGTTTTTGATAAACAGATCTTATAATTCAACCCTTTAAAACAGTTGATACAATTATACACAAATTGATACAGGTTTGACTTCTGAATTCAATGATATATTTCTTCCTATCCTTCCATCTTTGCCGTATCCCAATATTTTTCTGACTCGGCAGCCGGGCTACTTAAGGAATAGTTTGACTAGCCCGCCGCTGTTTTGACTAGCATTTGGCTAGTGGGCTACCGCTAATTTCGAACCCTGCACTGTTAGTATTATACCTGTACAAAAGTAGCTGTTGCAAAAGCTGACTATCCTTGGCCAAGATTTTAAGATATTAAGAACACATCACTGAAATGATTGTTGCATAAATCCTATGTGTGTGTTTTATGAAACCGGCTACATGATGTTAAATAGATTGGAGCTCTCTCCTGATTCCTACACCCTTTAGTGATATGTTTTACTAGGAACCTTCCTCACTCTTGCAAAATCCAACACCATATGGTAAACTCAATACCCAAACTGTTGGACTCTGATATATGCCGCTAACACAATGGAAAGTTTATTACTAGTGCAGTAGTCCGCACTCCAACAGATTCCAACAAACCCTGGTGTTGGAGTTTGACTGGATGGGGACGTTATAGGGTTAATTAATGAATCTTCTCATGAGCGTTTAAAAACTCCATACTTAACGCATCTGTTCATCTTAGAGCCATGTCCATATAGATACCGCTACACATAGGGCCTACAATATACATTTAGTAACTGTAAACTAAGTTGTACTCTTTGCAGTGTGGAGCCTCTAATTGCATTCATCAAACTTGATGCGTAGCTCCCATAATGCTTGATAGTATGGCAGAGCTTCTTCAATCATCTTCTCAATCTCTGGCGTCAGCGGGTACTTTCCGACTTCCCCATCTGTGTTCTGCTGCTTTGTGGGCTTAACAAAACCAGTGCTTCTCAGACAATTGTCCATCCAGCCAAGTAACTCACAGTCCTCCCACATAGCAGAGGACATTATCCAGTTGCCTGGTTTCCCATCGATAGGATCCCAAGTCAGAAGTCGATCGCTGAAGGGCAGTCCAAGGATTTGGCAGAGAGTCTGGATGGTCTTCTCTGGGTTCTGAATCAGGTCTTGAGCATCCAGAATGGTAACCTGCTGGCCAAGCTTGCTTGTCACATGTCTGTGGAGGTCAGATAGAGGCTTGTATTGATTCAGCCCGATGTAGAACTCTTTTTGCTCTTTTTTGATAGGAGCTAGAGCGGACTCGATAGACGGGATGGATTTAGCAGGATGCCTGGTCAGGAAGATGTGCTGATATCCTTCAGGTATCATGTCATACCTGCCTGTCATGCTGTAACCCATGTCCTTGGCAAGAACCAAAGACTTGCCCTGCCAGGGTTGCTCGTAGAGGACCTTTACTGACTCAAAAGTCTCAGTGGCACAGCTTTTGTATGTGTTGTTGCACACTCGTTGGGGGCCGTATAAAGCAGCAGATGTAAATGGCTCAAAGAGGACGACGGTATCTGGTACTTGGGAGAGAGAACAGGCAAAAACTGAAGACAGGGAGCGTGCTACACTCCAGATAACAACTCTCTTCTGGCTACGTGGACAGTCAGACATTCTGTAGTTTTGGTAATGGCTCGTGTTTGACTGCAAGGAGCTTTTAGATTATATACCGGTAGTACTGTGCTGGGCAAACACCACATTGGAGTTCCAGGTTTAATTGAGACCTAGCTGCTTAATTCTGCCGTGTGTACAATTGTGTGTGACATATCGATTGTGTACTTGTCTTTGAACTCAAATTCCATATGCTTGTCGGTTATCAATGGTTACTGATGTGAATTTTTTTTGTTATAACATGCATGTCAGGTGCATAGTGCATGTTGTACCTTGTACATTGACCTTGCAATTGTGACTCATTATAAATTGAATTGACTCAGATTCCATCAGCTATAAGGGACTACAAAAGGGGGAGGGGAGGGAGAGGGGGAGGGACTTTGGAGGGGGCACTCATTGTTTGGGGGTCGTTGGTGAGGGGAAGGGAGGTGTGTCCTGTCCTAGCTTATGTAGATAGCCGCAGTGAAATTTAAAAAAAAAATCACAATTTCACTGACTTCCAAGCTGAGGGACATGAGCCATAACATGTACATGTGCACACACATTTGTTTATGGTGTCAATCAAGGATTTTCTTTTGTTCTTCTTCCCTTTCCTTTGTTAATACCCTAACTTTTTCGCAACAGCTCTCATTGGTTTTGTACACGTTTTCTAATCGAGGTCGTCCTCAATTTAGTTCCTGTCCTCGATTCACAGATGATGTTACACGTGTGTGTTCTCGATTTACACCTTTATAATAACAAACGCATACATGTAAGCCAGTTATTAACCCAATACGGAAACAGTTTTGTATTCAATTATTCAATTATAGAGTAAATCCTTTTTCCATCATTTGCCAAAATTTGTGAAAAGCATGCCTGAGCAAGGTTTGGCTTTTGAGTAAGTGGTTTAAGTGTGTCACACTTATAAACCCTGGCCTCAAATTCAAAACACACTGAAAAATGTAAGATTTGAGGCTTTGCATGGTGGGGTATCGGTATCGTTTCGGTTTGCGGTAACACCATGTGGTAATAACTTCTGCTTAGAAGATAGTTAGTTCTGAAAAGAACTTGTCCTGCCTATTATCAACTTTTGCTAAGTAGTTTTTTGCTCTGATAAGAACAGTCCTGCTTTAAGTTCTAAAAGAACTTGTCTTTGGTCTCTCTTCTACGGAAACGTATTACCGCCACACATTTATTAATTTTTTTCACGTATGTACGTGATAAGTTTCACGTACGTACATGATAAGTTTTCTGTTTCACGTACGTACATGATAAGTTTCACGTACGTACGTGATAAGTTTCACGTACGTACATGATAAGTTTCATGTACGTACGTGAAAAGTTTCACGTACGTACATGATAAGTTTTCTGTTTCACGTACGTACATGATAAGTTTCACGTACGTACATGATAAGTTTCACGTACGTACATGATAAGTTTCACGTACGTACGTGATAAGTTTCACGTACGTACGTGATAAGTTTCACGTACGTACGTGATAAGTTTCACGTACGTACGTGATAAGTTTCACGTACGTACGTGATAAGTTTCACGTACGTACGTGATAAGTTTCACGTACGTACGTGATAAGTTTCACGTACGTACGTGATAAGTTTCAGTATATCACGTGTTTTACTGCGTGCGTGTTCACATACCAGGGCAACCTCGACCCCAGGGTGTCGAGCAGTACGCGCCCATCACTACCTGCTCTCTCACCCTGGTATTGGATCATTTGCATGTGCAAGATTTTTGAACACGTATGCAAATGAGGAATAGACTGGTGCCTGGATATACGTTACACCATAGCGTTTTTTTGTATATGCGGTGTCTGGGGTAAAAACAGAGTCAATTCGTAGCAGCGCGAGCACGGCGTGAGTTACGAAAACACGATTTTTGAAATCAAACTGTTACGATCTTATCGAGACAACATGCAGTATCATATTTCACATTAATATGAGCAAATTGGAAAGGAAATTAGTATTTTCGAGAAGGCGTGGACGAATGATCGCGAAAACACGTACCGCACGTTGTGAATAATAGCACCAAGTACACGATAAAAATCCATTACTAGCCAATTGCGGTATCCAATCAGGATACAGGAAGAAAGTTTCCTGTCCAGGGTTTACTATTGGAAACGCGGTTGGAAATAAGGCACTGGGGACGAGGTTGATACCAGGGGAATAGTATGCGAGCTTTCGGTTGACATTAATTTCAACATTAAGGAACTTCCACGCGAACATGCAGGAAGTAGGCTATCATACTTACCGTTGCTATAAAGTCACCAAAAGTACAACACAACCGAAAGCTCGCATACTATTCCCCTGGTATGTGAACACGCACGTACTAAAACGCACGCAGTAAAACACATGATATACTGAAACTTATCACGTACGTACGTGAAACTTATCACATACGTACGTGAAACTTATCATGTACGTACGTGAACTTATCATGTACGTACGTGAAACTTATCATGTACGTACGTGAAACTTATCACGTACGTACGTGAAACTTATCATGTACGTACGTGAAACAGAAAACTTATCATGTACGTACGTGAAACTTATCACGTACGTACGTGAAAAAAATAAATAAATGTGTGGCGGTAATACGTTTCCGTACTCTTCTTATCAGACTGTTCTTATCAGAACTACAAACTACTTAGCGAAAGTTGATAATAAGCAGGACAAGTTCTTTTCAGAACTAAATATCTTCTAAGCAGTAGTGATTACCACATGGTGTTACCTCAAACCGAAATGATACACTGAAAAATATCAGACTTTTATTTTATTCTGAACCTAGCTGGAAAATAGCATACTTCGGCTCTATCGGTTGTATTTCTGCACAGACACAAAAGAAGGATGTTGCGTGGGTGTTAGTGCAGTCACTCTATGATATGTCACCGTCTAGCTCAACATAGATATTATTGTGCATGTATGCCTCCAGATACATCCCCATATGCAGTTCCTTTTTATAAAAAAAAAGTGGGGGGGGGGGGGGGAAGGGGGTTTGCAGATTAAAAGCACGAACACCTTCCAACCACGTCAGGGCAATAATCAAGAAACATGTTTCTTCTTTGTAAGCCACACTCGCCGCTCGCTGCTCAGAGCTGGCAAATAGACCGTGGGCCAGAAATCCTATCTCGCCTAGAAAATGAAGTCCGTTAAAAAATTTTGGTGGCAAGAAAAAAATGCTTGTTCTTTGTCAATTCGAGGGTGCTGAATTCAATTCTTCCTGTTGCCGAGCTGACAAGTTGCACGTTTAGTCACAATCGCCGTCCAAAGTTTGACCCCCCCCCAAGAAAAATCTATTAGGGGCCCCTAGCGACCGATGGCAGTATCCGGATCCATCCCCTTAAAGTTCTCAGAAACGGCTACTCCGATTTAAATGCAGATCGTCACCCACTTAGAATATTTAATGATCATTAAATCTATACACTTGTAGGTTCATAAACAAGGTGGTTATTTAATTACATGTACTTTAATTATGCAAAAACAATGCTCATATATGTTTTATTGCAAATTGGCACAGAAGGCATACATGTAACTGACTTTTCCATATAAGGCATGACTGACTTTTTCTATAATTGTATGCGACTGCATTATATAACTAACCTAAAACAATTGTTATATTGATGCCAAGGAAAAATATCATATTAATGGTTTTATTGTTGTGATCATTAAATATGAAATTATGCACAAAATAACGCTTTGTCCATATTCAGTGTTTTTTATGCCAATAGTTTGTTCAAGGTATCACTGAATTTTTGCATGTGAGGCTGAAAGTATTGAATTGCATGTACATTTGTATGTCATTAATCCAAAATGAACCGTCTCCAATTTAACATAATCACATAATTACATAATTATGGTAATTAATTGTGCAATTTTGCAACAAATTGAATTAAAACAGCACCAACTTTTGTTCTTAAATGTTTATGAAAGGAAAAACTATTTGGAGAAGACTGACTTATTTCATTTACCTAAAGAGGCAAACAATAAATGGTAATTAATTCTCAAACTATCAACGAGTAACGCTAAGTTGACCACAGTCAACACTTTGTACCACCCAATTTTTTTTTTCAAGATATCACCGAGTTTTTCATAACATATGAAGTTCAAAGACTTAGGCCTATTTGCAGATTACCGAATTATGTCATTTACCTAAAGTAGAGTATTTGATTCCAACAATGTCCTAATTGGAAAGGTTTTATTTTGTGGTAATTAATTAATAAATAAGCAACAAATAAATCTTTGGCCATACTCAATTTTTTTTTCTAAAAAAAATTCTTCAAGGTATCACTGAATTTGCCATTAACACAAAAATGAACTGTCTAGAACTGGAACTTCCATAATTCCAAATACATGTATGTCATAATTATTGTAATAAAGTATGCAATTATGCAATGATGGATTGTCAAGGCATTACATGTATTGAGTTTTTCACTTAAGTGTGGAGCTGCTGCGCTCGTCTCAAGCATCAACTTGGGTCAACAGAAGGTGGAGCTGGAAGAACTATTTGTAGATGAGGAATTGTCATAAGCCTAAAAATATACTGTTGAAAACTGGAATTTGCTGTAAAATACAAACCAAAGAAATATTCTTCCTGAAAGGCATCATGGCGAATCACGTTTCTGCTGTCTACACCAGGCCAAAAAAAAAGCTATGCATATTTACAAGTACATGTAGAATGAGCAAACACATAAATATGGCTGATGATGAATACATGTATGTAAACTTTTCCGTACTACGTGAAGTCCCTGTGTCTATTCATCGTCTTCAATGTCACTTTCTTCGTCATCGCTGGACAGGCATTCGATGTCTTCAGTAGTGGTGTTCTCACAATCACTGCAACGACACAAGTCTGTACACGGCAAGTCGCCTGCCACACAAGAACAAATTCATGACTTGCAATGTCCCTTCTTGCATTTACAAGAAATGTTTTGGAGGATAGTTGCATGCATATTAAGTTATCTAATTTACATGAATATAATGTGATGGCATGCCCATAGAAAATGTATTTTTTTAAGTATCCTAGTATTTCCTACAATTAAAGGCACTATATCCTACAATTAAGGGCACTATTACTGTGATCTGACTTTAGTCACACACTTAATAATTTTCCATAAAATAGGAAAATATTATCACCTTGCACATCGACTAGCTGCCATGCTCTAAATCAACAGAAAATATTCCAAACGTCTAGCCACTTTTTATGATAAAGAAGGTTCTGCATTATTTTTTTTTTTTTTGGGGGGGGGGGAGGAGGAGTAACACAACATTGGTGATAGCTTCAATGTCTTACCTTGATGTAATTCTTGTGGCATGATCTGTGATACCGGACTTCGATTGCCACCATGTCTTGATCTTGAATATCAAGAAGGATGGATTCATCATTGAGTAGTTCAGCAGCCTTTGTCCACCTGAAAAATATAGTGAAAAAAAAATCTGGTTCAAAGTGGTTTCAACAATTATGTGGAAATGTCTTTCCATTTATATGACATTATGGTGATGTCACACTTTATATACATGTACATGTAATTATGACTGTACCTTTTTCATATTCACAGTTTGTGAGTGGCTCTTTTTTCCGCGGTCCATATGGCGGCTGGATCCATTTGCTCTTCTTGCATATGATGCACTCCACTGGTAGAGCATGCCTGGTCCTTTGCTCTTTCTCTCCTGTGCGTCTTCTCTTGCGGGGGATTACCACATCTCCTGCGCCATCACCTCCTTCACTAGTTGAGCTCTTCTCCATCCTCAGTTTCGCTCGCTTTATTTTTGATACATTGCAGAATCTGTTGAAATGAGAACGAGACAGATGAAATATTTGGCAATGAAATGGCTGATTGGATTTAAACAATAGAGATCCGAAAGTTTCAGTTCAAAGTACGTTTGTAATCAAATCATACTTCTTGTAGAAGTAGAATTAATTTTTTTCCCTTCGTAATCAATATCCCTTATGTCCGTGGCTCTTAAAAAGAAAAATACAGAATGTCCGAAAACCAACCTGTCTATAGTCTGGCTCTTACAGCCATGGATCCCAACATTGAGTATTACAAGAACCAGACAATGCTATAAAGACTAACAATAGAGGTTGACAATTACGTTACAGCTGCTGTAATGATAGCCGGTGTGAAACAAATAAGTGAAAGATTCCCAAATCTGGCCATCACTAATTTTTCCCTTCAGTGACCTATCAGCCATTAGAAAGTGAAAATCTGTCCTAAAAACTTAGCAGGGAAAATATTGAATTATTTACTGAGAACACAATTACAAATTTTAAGACAAGTTTCAAATGTTCTGACTGTAAAGGGTGACAAGTGATGGCCAAATATGGTTATCTTTCCCCCAAAATACTCAATCATTGTCACAACTCGGATTGTCATGTTTGTCCAATCCTATTTTATTTTCAATGTACTAATAGCAAACACAACCTATTTATTTGCTTTAAAAAATGACTTCAGTTACGTATTAAAATAGTATAAATAGCCCCCCCCCCCCCCCCCCCCCCACTGCACTACAATGATAACAATTAACATTCGACACGTTTGGAATTGGAAACTTACATCTGCCAATGCCGGTGGTAGCCATACTCGGCCTTTGGTCGTTCGTTTTTCGCTATATCTTTGCTTTTTGGGGCAACTCCTCTCTCCTTTCCATCCAATTCTTGTCACTGCTGACAACAAGTTACAAACTTCTTCCAGCTCGTCTCTGAAAATGGTGAAATTTCACCGCTTTCTTCGCCAACGCACGTCCTGAAGACGGGCGCCGCCATGTTCCTCCTGACGTCCTCGTCCCCGGGAAAATTAACGCGATTTTCTAAATCACCTACGAAGCGCCGATTCGAGGTTGCAGCATACCGCCCTCAATCGGCGTTCAAAAAAACATCGCCGACGCGACGGGAAAGTGGCAATTTTCTACCTTGATTTTCACATTAGTGTGCCGGGTTTTCTGCCGGCAACATCAAAAATATTAATCAGTGTCACAAAAGGAGTCCATTAGGAAAGAAAAAAAGTTGCCACCAAAAACTCCGAACGATTCTGCACGCTACGATTTCCTGGCCCACGGTCTAAAATGAGATTGCGTGCAGCCAACCCCTTTTGTCTCGGACTCGCTCAATTGGGCCAGTAGCCGAGGCCATTATTAAATCATTTGTACATTTTCTTTAGGCCCGCCATCTAGACCCCGAGGCTAAAAAAGTAGTCTACAAGGAAGGTGTTAAAGGAGAGGAAATTAGGCAAAGCAATAGCACACATAAAGAAAAAAAATTGTTGGTTTAACTTGTTTCTCATGTCATCATGTGAATATTTGTAAGGTCGATGATCTCTTCAAGTTACAATGTGATCAGGTCAAAAGTGCAGTCAAAAAGTGGGTTAATTTGATTGCACTTGATTACGGCATGTCCCGTACATATTGGGGTCTACTTTTAACCCATGGATGCATATGTGTCGCAAGCATATATGGAGAGATCATTTTAAATACGTAAGGGGATAGAATTAATCAAGAAAAAGAGGTACTATATCCTTTTAATACGAACAGGATGGAGGTTTTAGTCACCTTTTTAAATTATGAGCAAGACTGTCCGTTATTTATGAATACGGATGTAACAATATTCATTTCCACGATACGCAAAGCCCGATCTAGAACCATTATTTCTTTTTTTGACAGGGAGTGGGAGGGGGGAGGGGGAGGAGGGAGGGGGGAGGGGGAGGAGGGGGAGGAGGGAGGGGGGGGGGGGAGGAGGGAGGGGGGAGGGGGGGGGGGGGGGGCAGGGCTGGACTTCATTTGATGTTGGTGTGGTCTTTTTCTTATATCAGATAAATGTTCTGAATAATAAAAAAAAAAATGTAACAAAAATCTCATTTTATTCATATTTCACAATATTGTGTAGAGGAAAAGAGAATGAGTAGCTTGGATTTAATAACAGAAGGCTGCACTCAAGTTCTGGTTTCATTACCTAAAAAACTTGAGTACTCGTGTTTGGGGGTTGGCATGGCTCCTCTTCCTCCCCCCTCCCCAAAAATAACAACTGAACTCCTAACTTACGTAAGACTTCCATTTATTTTTTTATTGAAGTTGCTATTCCTGGCTCTTCAATGAATTCAATTTATTAATCTAAACAAATTTTCATTTTGTAATTTTGATTTTAATTCGAAACTTCTATTTTTTCTTTCTTTTGGTGCCTGCAATCCGCTGACAAAAGTCCTACCTGAAATATTTTATTCATAGCATTATCCAGGTTCGCTAGAACTAAATAACTGGGTCTGGATTTTCAAATGGAAGCAGATGTTCACAGCGTGAAACATTAACTAATTGCTACATGTAGCAGAGGTACTACACACATTGGAGCTTTAATTGCAATATTTTAGTGAGCATCCTGGTGTTTGGTCTCAGGCTTTGATGTTGCACGATGGCCATTTCCCGTGACTACGCCATCGTAATACTGTTCTGCTGAGAGCATCAAACACACGCTTCAGATTATGTGCCAAGTCACTCGCTTGCACTTGCAATTTTGTGTAGTCACGCTTTTGAAGTTCAAGGTGAGTCCAACTTGAAAATATTCATTAAAGGGCCAGGATAATGGTAAAGAGAAATTTGCCTCTCTGGTTGTCACAAAAACTGAGATGTGTTATGAGGTCAGTGCCCCTACACATATCAGGGCTGGATTAAGATCATTGTGGGCCATAGGCACCAGGTGCTTTTTGGACACTTATCGTACGTAAAAGTAGTGTTGAAGACAAGTACATAACTACCATAGACACTCTGAATAATTTTTTTTTTTAAATATTGCAAAATGACAACTCTCAAAGTTGTTCACCTGAAAGATTTAAAAGCTGGAGAAGACGACATATGCCCTAATGTTTAAAATCTTTGGCCTGTTACTTATAAAATGACATAATGTTTAAAATTTTGGGCCGGTTACTATTCGAAATTTTGACTCTGGCTCTGTAGGCGCTATAGTTTTTGAGATACAAGTATTTAAAGTTCGGAGGTCATGCTAATTAGTCAAAAGTTTGTTGACCCATATCTCAAAAACAAACGAGCCAATTTACAAAAAAATTTCATTTCTGGGGGCTTCTCGTATAGGCCAATCTTCACACCAAATATCGTTTCAATCTGTGAGGGTCGGGTCCAAAGTCGTGTTGAATTGACACGGAATGACCCTATTGCAGTTTTCCAGGCATTTTCGGTGGTTCCCGCACGATCAAGAGCATAGAAAGTCATGGTTGTCAACCACTCAATAGAGGGCAGCGCGTGCGTACCGTCGAGTACGGAACACGCTGCGCGTATGCAGCACGCAGAAGGCCAGGTATACGCGGACCGTTGTCAGCAATTACAGTGGCAGCTTCAAATAGTTTGACAAAAAAGATGAAATGAAGACAGTGTCTGGAATTGTATTACTTGCGGATCAAGTCAGCCTGATATAAATACAAATGTAGTAATAATAATATTGGATGGCCTTTTTCGGTGGATACAAGAAAATATTGCACTTGCTATGACAATATTGTGCAATATTGTCATAGCTCGTGCAATATATTCTTGTATCCACCTCAAAGCCGTCCAATATTCAAAGCCGTCCAATATTATAAAAATATTAATTGGGCAATATTGCGTGGCCGGATTTCATCACATCCGACTCATTTCATCGTATTTTTGTGGAGATGAGATTTCCATGCCACTGATTCTAAAAAAAAACCCAAACAATTCTGCACTCAGCTTTCAATTTTGTGCAGTTGTATAGAAGAAAATCTATTATCCTTCCCCCACGATTGAAATGGTCTGTTCCATGCAAGTTTAATATTTTTTATAGCTTTTGTGTTGCCGATCATCGGTTCGTGCTCAGTTGATCAACAGAGCGCGTAGGAGGAGCTGGACATGATGCGTGGAGGGATTCACCCACAACGCTGATCAGTGATGCATCATTATTTCACTATCACAGTAATTGAATAGTTGTACTGGATAATTTGGTAAATGATGATATTTAATTCCTGGTGATTTAAGTCGCTTGTTTACGATCATGTGCATCAATCTCAGAGACTCTTCAATTCACTTGGTTTTTTTCTCCATAACCACATCAACCACAACGTGCAAAGGGCTTTAATACTTTTGTTGTTGGTTTTGTTTGGCCACGTTGAGTGGCACTTCTTCTTTTCTTCAGGAAGTGTGACGATTATGTTGGAATTATCTCCTGGAGTTTGCAGATATCACCTGGTCATTGTTTCACAGGGATGTGTTTTATGGTAAAGAGAAAATAAATCTGTCGTCTTGCTATCATCTTGCTGTGCAGCTCTCCAGCTAGACATCCAGCAATTCTTTGTGAGTTAGGTTCATGCACCTTATTCAGCATCCTGAGCTGTTTCAGAAACGATTCTCCTTGACAACCATGAAAGCTGATGATACATGTGAGCAAGCCTTCACATCTCATCGTCTGTGATCGTCATGTCATCAGCGTGTTCATCGGAAAGAGAATTCTTTGTTATGGTGTTAAGTGGTCATTTCTGTTTGGTTCATTCTCATTGTTCATAGTTGCTTTGTGTGTGCTGATTTGCTGCTATATTTGACACACCATTGCAAGAAACATCATTCATTGTTTGAGGTCATTTGGATTTAGAGAAAAGCACGCTTTCACGTTGGACCAATCAGCGCTGGTAGCGCCTCCGTCATTTTGATTGTTGTCATCTTTTCATTTTGTTTGCTCCAGTTTGATACATGTACCTGTAATTGTCCCCATTTACTCCCTATTTCTGCCTAGACAGGAATCTCAGGAATTTTCCTACTTGACTTATCACCTATGTTCATTGTTTTGTTAATAGGTATAACTAGTCGTTTTGCCACCATTGACACTCCTTGGGTATCTTGATTGATATCTACATGATTTTCTGAGATAAATTGAGTCCTTGTTGTTGAATCAGAATGGAATTTTTCAAGTTTTAATTTTGCATTCACTTTTTTAGTAGTAGGCCTAGTTAACATCAGTGAGATTATTTCATAGTTCATTTTATGAAAGAAATTAGTCAAAAAGAAAAGTGGGTCATGCATTTTCTTCCATTCCAAATAAGAATAGAATAGTGTTATGTATAGAATTGTAAATGACCTAGTCAAGATCCCTAGAGGATGTTTCAGGAGGAAACTATAACCAAGCACCAAGTACCAAGTAAATGTTAACAAAATCTGACAGACATGTTTTGGTTTAAGTCATTTGGTAAATTTACTTACATCATCGTTCTCGTTTCAATATTGGGTGTTGCTCTTCACCGATGTATTCTATAAACACTGTACATGTGTACTCAGTGTTGTCTTGAGCGATTGTGTGAAAGAAATCACTTGGGTGGAACTCGAACCCACGACCTCCTGCTTACAAAAAGTTTCATTGTGGTACCCTCTGCTATATATCTGATTCGAACCAGCCAGCCGACCCCTGGCAAGCTCGGTGGTCAAGAGTAAGATATCTACACTAGTAAGCAGGAGGTCGTGGGTTTGAGTGTCACCCGAGTGATTTTTTTCTCACAGTCACTCTGGACAACACTGAGTATACAGTGTTTATAAAATACTCCTGTGAAGAGCAAAACGCAATATTAAATTTACATCACCCGGCGCAAATTCCATCTTTCGAATCATTAGTTGCATTTAAGTCTACCATTATATTTATAATCATTGCTACCTTTGGTATCAGAATCATATTAAGTGCTCTATTTTTTCAGGAGGAAAAATAAAACCTCATAGGCTGGATTTTGGTACTTAATAAAAAAAAAAGCAATTACATATTGAAACTGTCGAGGACGCTAGATGGATTTTTCTCATTGCCCCAAAGATATTTTTTTCTGTGAGGAGTTTGTACTTTTCTTTTTGGGTGCCTGGGAATTGAAACATAATTAAGTCATTAAAACGTCGTCATTGATCATTAACAGTTTTTGTTTGATGAAGATAAGATGCGATACTGGAATTCATCAGGATCAAAAACAATACCGTTGTTGCATTATTGTATTAGGTTGTGCAAGGGACTGCCGCACTTTTCGTAGTGGTCGGATTTCATCACCATTTTCATGAAGTGACGAGCATATTGA